GGGGGGGTCAAAAATCGTCCAAAATCGCGTGACGTCATTTATGGACGCCCCCCCAAAGGGGTGCACCACCCATAGCGAAGATGGAGCGTGAAACTCATGCGGCATTCGACTTTCATCCAGCAATGGAATAGATCGGTGGTTCTCAACCGGGGTCGTACATGATGTTATCAATTAAAATCATACATGAGTCATTGGTGGATAGTCACGTATGAATCTGCCAACATGAAACGATATGAAAGACATTTCTCAACTCATTGATCGTAAGCGATGTTAGTGAGAAGTCGCCAGCGAGAGAGAACGAATTACGTCACGCGTGCGGAGCGTCCCTTGACTTAGGGACCGTCCATAAATGACGTCACGCGATTTTGGACGATATTTGACCCCCCCCCTTCGTCACACGGCGTCACAAAAAGTCAGACCCCCCTAAAATATGACGTCACAAAGCTCTGCCCCCCCCCCCTCCCAAGAAATAAAACATGCTTCAAATCGCTTCAGATCGCTTTAAACTATCGTCATTCTAGTGCGTATTTAATGTGGCGCTGCACTCTGATGTAGGGGAAAACATTTATTAAAAAGTCTATTTAGTTAAGTAGAACGTGTTGTCTATATTTAAAGTTGCCCATTTTGATGTGACGTCACATTTCTCCCCCGCCCCCCAGATGCGTGACGTCATTTATGGACGGCCCTTTAGCGAGTTAGGGTGTACCTCACGAAATGGGCAATTGGTTAAAGTGTTGATGGTCGTTGTGCGTACGTTTATTTCTCAGAAGCAGCAATGTTGGGTCAGGCAAGGGGCTCGTTGCTCGGTTGAAACTAAATTCAGCAATGGGGTACAGAGACTCCTCTACTTACAAACATTCGACTTGAAAACTTTAAGAGATATGAACAAACCTGTCCTCACGTCCAGTGGCAGTTGTTTGGACTGAGAGTCGTAAGTTCAAACGCCGCGCAATAGATGGCGGTGGTGGGTGGCATCTGCATCTACAGAACGTGAAGAACCAGTGGCATCTACAGAACGTGAGGAACCAGTGCCATCTACATCTACAGAACGTGAAGAACCAGTGGCATCTACAGAACGTGAGGAACCAGTGGCATCTACATCTACAGAACGTGAAGAACCAGTGGCATCTACATGTACATCTGCAGAACATGAAGAACTAGTGGCATCTTCATCTACAGAATGTGAAAACATGTACACCTGGCCCTCAAAAGGAATGGTTACTCTGACCATACCATCCGCCAAGCTGTTTCTCCCTCCATACAGAAACAACCACTTGATACTTCGGTCAAAACCATCACACTTCCATATATAGCAGGCGTTACTAAAAAGATTTCCAAAATTCTAAACAAACACAAGATCCAGGTCCGGTTCAATACAGTACACAAAATTCGTGATCTGATCCCATCCGTGAAGGATGTCATTCCTGACTTACAGTACCCCGGGGTTTACAAATTGAGTTGTACCTGCGGTGATTGCTATATCGGGGAGACAAAGCGACATGTCTCTGACCGAATTCGCGAGCACAAATCAGATTTGAAACACGGCAAAACGAATTCTGCCGTGGCTGATCACTGTTACAATGCTGTGGGGGATCACGATATAATTTTCTCCGATACCAAGGTTCTTTGCAAACCCACGGGCTTTTATCAGAGATTTGTTCATGAAGCAATTCAGATCTACAAACACAGACACAATTTCAACCGAGAAGATGGTTTCAAATTAAGCAACCATTGGAAAGATGCTCTAAATCGAACTAAACATTAAACTAATTTCATTGGTACAGTATATTTTTTCAAGTAGTGGTACCCCAAACTTTCGCAGCTCTTATAAATTCCCTTTTCACACCATCAATAGGTAAACTCCCCCTCCCCCCCTCCCCCCCCGCGCCAAATGGCAAGTCCACCGGCACGTACACCACCTCTTTCCTAAAATCGGCCAATCAAATGCTAATTTCTATGCTAATTTCTTTGTCAGAACACCTTGTTTGCTCGCACACAGTTTAAAGGTCCGCTGTCTGAGCGTGGTTGTGTTTCGCTAAATTCTCCTGTTTGATTAGTACTAGGTGCCTCGGTGAATGTATATGCTCTGACTTTAACATAGCTATTTCTGTGACCAGTTACAAGCTAATCACTCAGCTATTTCAATGCTAAATTCTATGCTAATTCCTTTGTCAAGGGGTACCTCTGCGTATGTGTATACTTTAACTTAGCTATTTCAATGAGCCATTTCAATGCTAAATTATATGCTAATTCCTTTGTCAAGGCGCTTGGTCTTCTTTATCTTCTCACACAGCTTAAAGGTCGTGATCTAAGCGTGGCTTCTCCCACTCCAGCGCTGTCCTCCAGACAGTCTCGTCCCTTCACCTGATGAAGGCCGCTTGTGTTGTGGCCGAAACGTCGTGATTTTTTGTTCTTTTTTGTTATTTTATTTTCACCTACGTGACTTTACCCAAAAGAACCAAAGAGTATGGATCCTAGCAGTCACGAAAGCTTTAAATCTAGAAAAGAACGTGAAGAACCAGTGGCATCTACATCTGCAGAACATGAAGAACCAGTGGCATCTACATCTGCAGATCGTGACGAACCAGTGGCATCTACATCTACAGAAGATGAAGAACCAGTGGCATCTACATCTACAGAACGTGAAGAACGAGTGACATCTACAGAACATGAAGAACCAGTGGTATCTACATCTACAGAACGTGAAGAACCAGTGGCATCTACATTTGCAGAACGTGAAGAACCAGTGGCATCTACATCTACAGAATGTGAAGAACGAGTGGCATCTACAGAACATGAAGAACCAGTGGCATCTACATCGACAGAACGTGAAGAACCAGTGGCATCTACATCTACAGAACATGAAGATCCAGTGGCATCTACAGAACGTGAAGAACCAGTGGCATCTACATCTACAGAACGTGAAGAACCAGTGGCATCTACATCTACAGAACGTGAAGAACCAGTGGCATCTACATCTACAGAACGTGAAGAACCAGTGGCATCTACATCTGCAGGACGTGAAGATTAGTGGCATCTACATCTGCAGAACGTGAAGAACCAGTGGCATCTACATCTACAGAACGTGAAGAACCAGTGGCATCTACATCTACAGAACATGAAGAACCAGTGGCATCTACATCTGCAGAACGTGAAGAACCAGTGGCATCTACATCTGCAGAACGTGAAGAACCAGTGGCATCTACATCTGCAGAACGTGAAGAACGAGTGGCATCTACATCTACAGAACATGAAGAACCGGTCACATCTACATCTGCAGCACGTGAAGAACCAGTGGCATCTACATCTGCAGAACGTGAAGAACCAGTGGCATCTACATCTACAGAACGTGAAGAACCAGTGGCATCCACATCTACAGAACGTGAAGAACGAGTGGCATCTACAGAACATGAAGAACCAGTGGCATCTACATCTACAGAACGTGAAGAACCAGTGGCATCTACATCTACAGAACATGAAGACCCATTGGCATCTACAGAACGTGAAAAACCAGTGGCATCTACATCTACAGAACATGAAGAACCAGTGGCATCTACATCTGCAGAACGTGAAGAACCAGTGGCATCTACATCTGCAGAACGTGAAGAACCAGTGGCATCTACATCTGCAGAACGTGAAGAACGAGTGGCATCTACATCTACAGAACATGAAGAACCGGTCGCATCTACATCTGCAGCACGTGAAGAACCAGTGGCATCTACATCTGCAGAACGTGAAGAACCAGTGGCATCTACATCTACAGAACGTGAAGAACCAGTGGCATCCACATCTACAGAACGTGAAGAACGAGTGGCATCTACAGAACATGAAGAACCAGTGGCATCTACATCTGCAGAACGTGAAGAACCAGTGGCATCTACATCTACAGAACGTGAAGAACCAGTGGCATCCACATCTACAGAACGTGAAGAACGAGTGGCATCTACAGAACATGAAGAACCAGTGGCATCTACATCTACAGAACGTGAAGAACCAGTGGCATCTACATCTACAGAACATGAAGACCCATTGGCATCTACAGAACGTGAAAAACCAGTGGCATCTACATCTACAGAACATGAAGAACCAGTGGCATCTACATCTGCAGAACGTGAAGAACCAGTGGCATCTACATCTGCAGAACGTGAAGAACCAGTGGCATCTACATCTGCAGAACGTGAAGAACGAGTGGCATCTACATCTACAGAACATGAAGAACCGGTCACATCTACATCTGCAGCACGTGAAGAACCAGTGGCATCTACATCTGCAGAACGTGAAGAACCAGTGGCATCTACATCTACAGAACGTGAAGAACCAGTGGCATCCACATCTACAGAACGTGAAGAACGAGTGGCATCTACAGAACATGAAGAACCAGTGGCATCTACATCTACAGAACGTGAAGAACCAGTGGCATCTACATCTACAGAACATGAAGACCCATTGGCATCTACAGAACGTGAAAAACCAGTGGCATCTACATCTACAGAACGTGAAGAACCAGTGGCATCTACATCTACAGAACATGAAGAACCGGTCACATCTACATCTACAGAACGTGAAGAACCAGTGGCATCTACATCTGCAGGACGTGAAGATGTAGTGGCATCTACATCTGCAGAACGTGAAGAACCAGTGGCATCTACATCTACAGAAAGTGAAGAACCAGTGGCATCTACATCTACAGAACATGAAGAACCAGTGGCATCTACATCTACAGAACATGAATATATAATCAGTGGCATCTACAGGAGATGATACAACGTTGAAGACATTCACCGTGTTTAGTGTGCATGCCGTACAACACGTTTGGAATCGGCAGTAAAAGTGGGGCTTACGAACAAATCGACTTACGAACAGGCATGGAACCTAACTCGTTCGTAAGTCGAGGAGTCGCCGTAGCTCCAGGAGCCAGACGGCTGAGAACGACTTGGAACGGATCTTGTTTGAGGATGACGTACACCGCATCGATTCCCAACAGAATGACCGGAAACCGCTTAAACGATTCCTTGAATTATACAGAATGGATTCGATCCCGATTCCCCGTTCAAGTGCAAAATCGATTGCGAGAGGCCGTTTGTAAGTGAAGGTCGAGAATCGATGCAAGTACACAACCCCGACAAATCGATTCCCGAAGCAGGTTCCGCATCCCGTCGCATAGCCCCGCCCGACCGGGGGACCTCGCCTAGAAGCCCATGCAGGCTTCACGCGGCTGCCGCTTGTAGGCCGCGACGAAGCCGCCGTCTCGGGGTTGTGGAGTGGAGGGGGAAGAGAAGCGATGGGGGAGGCGAGGAACGAGGAGGCGGAGAGTGCGAGCAGGCGGAGGAGGGGGAGCGGGGAGACGACGGTGCTGGCGGGGAGGTCTGACCCGTGAGTGTCTTTGCCAGTGTCGTGTGTTTAGCCGCAGCGGCCGCAGCAGCAGCAGCAGGAACCCGATGAGCTGTAAAGCTCTTTATCACTGGCGTCGGGTATAGGCGGGCGGGCCAGCGAAGTACAGCAACAAGCAGCACAACACAGACACAGCACAGACACAACACAGACACAACACAGCCACAGTACAGACACAACACAGACACCACAGACACAGCACAGACACAACACAGACACAAACACAGACACCACAGACACAGCACAGACACAGCACAGACACAACACAGACACAACACAGACACAGCACAGACACAGTAAGCAGCACAACACAGACACAGCACAGACACAACACAGACGCAGCACAGCACAGACACAACACAGACACAACACAGACACAGTAAGCAGCACAACACAGACACAACACAGACACAACATAGACACAGCACAGACACAACACAGACACAACACAGACACAGCACAGACACAATACAGACACAGCACAGACACAACACAGACACAACACAGACACAGCACAGACACAGTAAGCAGCACAACACAGACACCACAGACACAACACAGACACCACAGACACAACACAGACACAACACAGACACAGACACAACACAGACACAGCACAGACAGCACAGACACAACACAGACACAACACAGACACAGAGTACAGCACAACACAGACACAGCACAGACAACACAGACACAGCACAGACAACACAGACACAACACAGACACAGCACAGACACAGCAAGCAGCACAACACAGACAGATCGCGTAAATATGTGTCGTCAAACCCGCCACCACCCGACACAGCCAACTAGTAAAGCTTGTCACGTAAACAGAACGTGTCATTTCGTCACTAGTGCAGCACGCCGGTTGTGTGTTGGAGAGCCAAGCCCCAACATTTACAATCTGAGTCCGACGTTTCGCCAGTAATTACAACCGGCATCACATATACATAATACGTCATTATATATATACACAGTACTGATCTTCCTCTCCGGTTCCTTACGTTTTTTCGAACAGCACGACCGCTTAAATTGTTCGGTTGTAGCCCATCCTGCACGTGTCCACATAGTGCCAGCCTCATCCGCACCACTGCCTGCATCGTTGGGTCTTCGCAACTTCTTGTCCCCTCACTTCTGCGTTGGGTCACTCTTTGTGCCCTGTTTAGATGCTGCAGCAGCAGCAGCATCCTTCTGTAGCAATATCTCATCGCTGTCAGTCTTTTTCAATGTCCGTGTGTCTCTCGCAGGCGTACAAAGCTGTACCGAACACGCACGTTCATCATCACGTAAACGCTCACAGCCGCAGTTCAATCCAAGCGGCTATACTGCTGCCTCCTTGCTGGACATTGCATCTTGACGCCAACGGAAACGCGGCGTGATCCACCAACCCCCGCTGTCTCTGGCAGCTCGGGCTCGCAGTGTGCTCGGCAGTGGTGGAACGCCCCGGAACACCGCGGCGGGAGTGAAAATGTTAACCCGGCTTCGTTCGAGAAGGAGTCAAGCATTCGTATTTATTTATTTGACTCGGAGACCCCCCCCCCCCAGACAAACTAGGAGACCGACAGGCACGCACAGAGACCCATAGATACGCACATAGACCCACAGACACGCACAGAGACCCACAGACACGCACATAGACCCACAGACACGCCCATAGACCCACAGACACAAAGATCCCCCATATAGCCTTAACAGACTGTAGGGGCAAGTGCTGTTAGCGAGCACCTATGAAGGCCGGAACGGTACACGAGGGGGTGGGTGGCCAGCACCACGCCCGACCGCCTTTGTCTCCCTAGTGGCAATGTTTAGACACCGCACCAGGTACTCATTTGAAGCTGAGTCGACCTAGGGGAGGCCCGGGACCGGTTCAGATAATCGTCACTGGTGTTGGCCGTGAGCGGGAATCGAACCCGGGTCGCCAGGTTTATAGCGCAGCGCGCTAACCGCTACACTATCGCTCCCCTTCATAGGTGCTCGCTAACAGCACTTGCCCCTACAGTCTGTTAAGGCTATATGGGGGATCTTTATCTTTGACCCACAGACACACACATAGACCCACAAACACGCACAGAGATCCACACACACATACAGAGACCCACAGAGACCCACAGACACGCACAGAGACCCACAGACACGCGCAGCGACCCACAGACACGCACGGAGACCCACAGACACGCACATAGACCCACAGACACGCGCAGGGACCCACAGACACGCACAGAGACCCACAGACACGCACATAGACCCACAGACACGCACATAGACCCACAGACACGTGCATAGACCCACAGACACGCACAGAGACCCACAGACACGCACAGAGACCCACAGACACGCGCAGCGACCCACAGACACGCACAGAGACCCACAGACACGCACATAGACCCACAGAGACCCACAGACACGCACATAGACCCACAGACACGCACAGAGACCCACAGACACACGCAGAGACCCACAGACACGCGCAGAGACCCACAGACACGCACAGAGACCCACATACACGTGCAGAGACCCACATACACGCACAGAGACCCACAGACACACACAGAGACCCACAGACACGTGCAGAGACCCACAGACACGCGCATAGACCCACAGGCACGCACAGAGGCCCACAGACACGCACACAGACCCACAGACACGCACACAGACCCACAGACACGCACAGAGACCCACAGACACGCACAGAGACCCACAGACACGCACATAGACCCACAGACACGCGCAGAGACCCACAGACACGCGCAGAGACCCACAGACACGCACAGAGACCCACAGACACGCACAGAGACCCACAGACACGTGCAGAGACCACAGACACGCACATAGACCCACAGGACACGCGCAGAGACCCACAGACATGCACATAGACCCAAAAACACGCACATAGACCCACAGACACGCACAGAGACCCACAGACACTGCACAGAGACCCACAGACACACAAAGAGACCCACAGACATGCACAGAGACCCACAGACACGCACAGAGACCCACAGACACACACAGAGACCCACAGACACACACAGAGACCCACAGACACACACAGAGACCCACAGACACACACAGAGACCCACAGACACACACAGAGACCCACAGACTTGCACAGAGACCCACAGACACGCACAGAGACCCACAGACACACACAGAGACCCACAGACACACACAGAGACCCACAGACACACACAGAGACCCACAGACACACACAGAGACCCACAGACACGCGCAGAGACCCACAGCTACGCAGAGACCCACAGACACACAAAGACCCACAGACACACACAGAGACCCACAGACACGTGCATAGACCCACAGACACGCGCATAGACCCACAGACACGCGCAGAGACCCACAGACACGCACAGAGACCCACAGACACAAACAGAGACCCACAGACACGCACATAGACCCACAGACACGTTCAGAGACCCACAGACACGCGCATAGACCCACAGGCACGCACAGAGGCCCACAGACACGCACACAGACCCACAGACACGCACAGAGACCCACAGACATGCACAGAGACCCACAGACACGCACATAGACCCACAGACACGCGCAGAGACCCACAGACACGCGCAGAGACCCACATACACGTACAGAGACCCGCAGACACGCACAGAGACCCACAGACACGTGCAGAGACCCACAGACACGCACATAGACCCACAGACACGCACAGAGACCCACAGACACGCACAGAGACCCACAGACACGCACAGAGACCCACAGACACGCACAGAGACCCACAGACACGCACAGAGACCCACAGACACACACAGAGACCCACAGACACACACAGAGACCCACAGACACACACAGAGACCCACAGACACGTGCAGAGACCCACAGACACGCACAGAGACCCACAGACACGCACATAGACCCACAGACACGCACATAGACCCACAGACACGCACAGAGACCCACAGACACGCACAGAGACCCACAGACACGCACAGAGACCCACAGACACGCACAGAGACCCACAGACACACACAGAGACCCACAGACACGCACAGAGACCCACAGACACAGCACAGACACAGCACAGACACAGCAAGCAGCACAACACAGACAGATCGCGTAAATATGTGTCGTTAAACCCGCCACCACCCGACACAGCCAACTAATAAAGCTTGTCACGTAAACAGAACGTGTCATTTCGTCACTAGTACAGCACGCCGGTTGTGTGTTGGAGAGCCAAGCCCCAACATTTACAATCTGAGTCCGACGTTTCGCCAGTAATTACAACCGGCATCACATATACATGATAAGTCATTATATATATACGCAGTACTGATCTTCCTCTCCGGTTCCTTACGTTTTTTCGAACAGCACGACCGCTTAAATTGTTCGGTTGTTGCCCATCCTGCACGTGTCCACATAGTGCCAGCCTCATCCGCACCACTGCCTGCATCGTTGGGTCTTCGCAACTTCTTGTCCCCTCACTTCTGCGTTGGGTCACTCTTTGTGCCCTGTTTAGATGCTGCAGCAGCAGCAGCATCCTTCTGTAGCAATAGCTCATCGCTGTCAGTCTTTTTCAATGTCCGTGTGTCTCTCGCAGGCGTACAAAGCCGTACCGAACACGCACGTTCATCATCACGTAAACGCTCACAGCCGCAGTTCAATCCAAGCGTCTATACTGCTGCCTCCTTGCTGGACATTGCATCTTGACGCCAACGGAAACGCGGCGTGATCCACCAACCCCCGCCGTCTCTGGCAGCTCGGGCTCGCAGTGTGCTCGGCAGTGGTGGAACGCCCCGGAACACCGCGGCGGGAGTGAAAATGTTAACCCGGCTTCGTTCCAGAAGGAGTCAAGGATTCATATTTATTTATTTGACTCGGAGACCCCCCCCCCCAGACAAACTAGGAGACCGACAGGCACGCACAGAGACCCATAGATACGCACATAGACCCACAGACACGCACAGAGACCCACAGACACGCACATAGACCCACAGACACGCCCAT